CGCTGGGCAAGGGTGTTGCTTGTTTGTTGTTGGTTGGGGGGGGGGGGGTCAACAGTGGGAGGGCTTCTAATGTCCTGGCCCCACTGGTGGACCTCCTGATGGCACCTGGTATTTCTGGCCACTGTGTGACACAGAGTGTTGGACTGGATGGGCCTTTGGCCTGATCCAACATTGGCGTCTCTTATGTTCTTAATATATATAGTGAATGTTGTAGACGGTGGTCTCCGGAATGGTGTGCCGTTTCAGCTATAGTTGCTGAATGCCTTCTATAGCCCATTGAAGAACATAGCTGTAAGCATAGCTTTATGATGAAGTGAATCAACAGTATATTTTCAATACGTCACCAAGAGAAATGAATTGTTGAAGGACAGTTTATGTACATCTCCTTGTTCAGAAGAAGATCATTGTTGAAACGGCACACCATTCTGGAGACCACCGTCTACAACATTCACTATATATATTACTTAATTTCTGTTATTGTCTATTATGATTTATGAATATATTACCAAGCGCTAAATTGTCACAGTTCTTTTCCTTTTTTCATTGGTCTTGTAACTATTATCTGCACAAGTTGATTCGAGCCAACTATATCTTACCTTTGGTAAAGGAGATGCCTGGCTTGACAGACTCGGACTATGTCAGCTACTCATTATCAGATGGATAATCAGACCCAGTGCTCCCTCTAAGCTGTGGAGTCCTGTGAGCAAAAATTCTACTTGGTGAGCTACTGGCCTTAAAGTTGTGAGCGAGTGATTTTTGCTCACAAGACTCCACAGCTTAGAGGGAGCACTGGTCCAATGTGGATCTGCAGTAGGTGGAAACTTCCAAACCTAATACCTGGACCCCCCACTTTTGGATTTTACCAGCAATTCTACATCTGAGCCAGTAGGTGTCAGCAGCACCTCCAGGGGAACCGCGGCCTTCCTTGAGTGGCTAAAAACCAGCGTCTACAAAAGCCCAACTAGAGACAGAGAGAGAGACAGGGACAGCAGGGCCCGCCGAAAACACACAGCAAAAAAGTGGAAGAATCGACCCAAACGTACCTGCTGAGCTTTGGCGGAAAGCTGCAGTTCTGTGCCAGGCCGCAACCGGATCTGATTCTCCACCGGAATCTGCACCAACAGGAAGGCTGACATACTGCGAGCCACAACCCGGAACCTGGAGGGAGGAAACGAAGAGGAGAATGCCAGAACTGCCCCGCTGGGTAGGAAAGTGTGTATTGAGGGAGGGGGCGGAGGAACATCCATCCCTTTGTCTTCACAAATATTACCTGCAACCAGGGGTCATTTCCAGCAGGAGTGCACAGGAGCGGAGCTCCGGCAGTAAAGAGCCCAGGGGGCGGGCACATGCAACAAGCCCCACCCCCTGCTCCCAGCAGCCCTCGGTCAGAGCAAGAAGCAGCCAGGTAAGCTGCAGAGCTCCCCCCGGCCCCCTAGTACAAAACAGTCCAGTGGCACCTTTAAGACCAGGTTTTGTTCAGGTACCAGCTCTCCCTCCTCTGCGAGGACAGATCTGCACATTCCCCCCCCCCCCCCAATAGCTAGCAATCCAGAACAGCCCAGTGGAGCCTGAGCGGTGGGTGTTGCCTTCTGACACACTTCCGGTGATGTCAGGGGGTGTGGCCTATGCTAATGAGTTATGCTAATGAGCTCCTGCACCTCTTTTTCTGTGAAATGACCCCTGTCTGCAACGTATTGTGCCTGAAAGGATACGACAAGATGCACAATGGGGGAGGGGAGGAGACCAAGACTAACCGAGAACGCCTTCCCCATTCGTGTACCCTGCCCTAAAAGCAATAACAGAGGCTCCCTCAGTCTGTCCTGTGGCCACTGACACCATTTTAGAAACATTTGTAGTTCTTTAAAAATTGCTGTGAGGCCCCTTGCCAGACCGCCCGTGGCAGCTCCAAGGAGTCTAGTTTTTAACCCCATGCCTTTTCATGGCAGTTTGGCGTCGTGGTTAGGAGCACGGACTCTAATCTGGGGAAACCGGGTTTGATCCCTCACTCCTCCACATGCAGCCGCTGGTGTGGCCTTAGGTCAGACACAAGTTCTCTCAGAGCTGTTCTCCCACGTGCAGTCATCGAAAGAGCTCTCTCAGCCCCACCTACCTCACAGGGTATCTTTTGTGGGGAGGGGGAGGGAAAGGAGTTTGTAAGCCGCTCTGAGACACCTTTGGGTAGTGAAGGGTGGGGTATAAATCCAATCTCTTCTTCTTTTACCTCACAGGGTGTCTGTCGTGGCGAGGGGAAGGGAAAGGAGTTTGTAAGCCACTCTGAGACACCTTTGGGTAGTGAAGGGCGGGGTATAAATCCAATCTCTTCTTCTTCTTCTTCTTTTACCTCACAGGGTGTCTGTCGTGGGCAGGGGGAGGGAAAGGAGTTTGTAAGCCGCTCTGAGACTCCCTTGGGTAGTGAAGGCCGGGGTATAAATCCAATCTCCTCTTCTTCTTCTTTTACCTCACAGGGTGTCTGTTGTGGGGAGGGGAAGGGGAAGGAGTTTGTAAGCCGCTCTGAGACTCCTTCGGGTAGTGAAGGGTGGGATATAAATCCAATCTCCTCTTCTCTTCAAGTGTGCATGAGGGGGCTTTCTGCCACAGGGGGTTTTTTTTGCACCTGAAAGGTAGGGGGGGGGGAGCTTCTGGGGTCATAGCACTGTGTGCCCTATCCAGACCGGGGCCTTGCAGCAATTTTGAAAGAACTACAAATCCTTCTAAAAATGACACCAGCGGACACGGGATAGACCCATGGCAGCCGTAGTCTGGCCCTCAGAAGCACAGCCGAAAAACTGCTTCCACAGAAGCTGGGAACTTTTGCTTCTCCACTCCACCGGCCCATCCAGCGCCATCTTCCCTGACTAACAGCAGCTCTCCAGATGTCTGCCTGTGAACAGATGAAACTGCCTTTTGCTGAACCAGGCCCTTGGTCCATCAGACTCAGTATTGTCTGGGAGCAGCTCTCCATGGTCTCAGACTGAGGTCTTCCTTATCACTTCCTACCAGATCACTTTAACTGGAGATGCCGGGGATTGAACCTGGGACCTTCTGCATGCCGAGCAGAGGCTCTGCCACTGAGCCACAGTCCCCCCCCCACCCTCAGACTTGCTACTTTCCGTCTGTTCCACTAGATACACCACAGACTGAATCCTCGGGCTTTATGCTTGCAAACAGCTATACCGCTCTAGCCTAAAAAGTATGAAGCCAAGGGAGAGGCATGTCCATCCATGTCCGGAGTAAAAGGCCAGTGGAACATCTGCCCCAAACCCTCTCCCATCAAAGAGGCTGCACCTTCATCAGCTGGCTCTCCCAGGTTTCCTCTAACGCAGTGGTGGCGAACCTATGGCACGGGTGCCAGAGGTGGCACTCAGAGCCCTCTCTGTGGGCACACGTGCCATCGCCCGAGTCAGGTCCAGACCATCATCAAATTATCGAATTCTCTGCCAAATAATTTTAAGTAAATGAAAGCATTTGGGATTGCTTTCCTTACTTTGTTTGGATCATCTTAAGTTAATGTATGAGTTGTTTTTTCTAAAGTAAAACCTCAGTATTCAGGTTAAATTGCCGTGTTGGCACTTTGCGATAAATAAGTGGGTTTTGGGTCGCAGTTTGGGCACCCGGTCTCTAAAAGGTTCGCCATCTAACGAATCTCCTCTCCCTGTGCACCTGCCCTCTAGAGGACAGGAGGGCTTACTGCACAACGAGTCAATTGTGGTCAGGAGATGAACCTGGGAGCTTGCTTTTATACATGTGACTAGTGGCAAAAGTCCGCATGGTCAAAGCAGTGGTATTCCCAGTAGTCATGTATGGCTGCGAGAGTTGGACTATAAGGAAGGCCGAGCGCCGAAGAATAGATTCTTTTGAACTATGGTGCTGGAGAAGACTCTTGAGAGTCCCTTGGACTGCAAGAAGATCAAATCAGTCAATCCTCAAAGAAATCAACCCTGACTGTTCCCTGGAAGGCCAGATAATGAAACTGAAGCTCAAATACTTTGGCCACCAAAGGAGAAGGGAGCACTCACTGGAGAAGACCCTGATGCTGGGAAAGATTGAAGGTCAAAGAAGACGGGAATGGCAAAGGATGAGATGGTTAGACAGTGTCATCGATGCAACGAACATGAAGTTGAGCCAACTTCAGAGGATGGCGGAAGACAGGAAGACCTGGCGGGATCTGGTCCATGGGGTCGCGAAGAGTCGGACTCGACTGTGCGACTGAACAACAACAAAAGTGGCACACAAAAGCTGACACCAGGAATAAAACTTTGTCGGCCTCAAAGGTGCCGCTGGACTCAAACTTGGTTCTCCTGCTTCGGACCACCACGGCTGCCCCACCTGAATCCAAATCCATGAATACCTGTTCGACAAGGGAGATCTCCTTCCCAGGCCGATGGCCCCGAGTATCCCCGACGTGAGCCTCTCTTCGGCCAGCACAGCCTGGCGGCCTTGCAGAGTCGTCAGTGTCCGGACGACGGCCTCCACCAGGATGGCATCGTCCTGCTCGGTTTGAAGGAGGCAGAGCTGCAGGGCTTTGTGCCACCAAAGGAACAGCTTGGCTTCGTCCTGGGCAGAGCTGGGGACGGAGGGGAAACGGCACCAAGACGGCCATGGTTAGAAACCGGTCACTTTACCAACCCCTTCACAGGGTTATTCAACATCCTTGCTAAGTTTTACATGGAAAGCCCTAGCAAAAAATACAAGAACTGGAGGACTGAAGGTAACAAAAGAGCCCCTGCACCATTTCTCCCCAAGTCACATGAAGCTGCCTTATACGGAATCAGACTCTTGGTCCATCAAAGTCAGTACTGCCTACTCCAAGGGTGTCAAACATGCAGCCCAGGGGCTGGATCAGACCCCCCCATGGTGAACTCTGGTGACTGACCCCTACTGGTGGCCTGGAGGATATTCAGAGAGGTGGCTGAAGAAAGGCTGCCCCGTATTCCAAGGAGGTCTCCCATCCAAGGACTTGCCAGAGTCAGCCCTGCTTAGCTTCCGAGATCTGACTTAGATTGGGCTTGCCTGGCCTATCCAAGTCAGGGCGGGGCCTGACAGATTTTAATCCAGTCAAGTGGAACTTGGCAGTACGCTGGGAACCAGCAAGCTGAAACTGGAGAGAACTGAAACCACCGGGTTTGGATCCAGACGGAATTTTCCACGGGCAGAATGGAAGTGCTGGCAGGTGTCGTGGGGCCACTGATGTGATTTTTGAAAAATTAAGTCCAAATCCCTGGTTTTTATCTTGGAAGTAAAAAATGGATTCCAGGGTTAAGGAAGACCGATTCTTGGTGTTACTATAATTGCGTACAATTTCATACCCTACAGTGGAGGGTGGTTCCCAGGGTGGGAGGTGTGGGAGAGACTGTGACTGTCCGTAAGCACTCTAAAAGGGTGGAGTAGAAACCAAAAATGTATCAAAGACTGCTAGCTGGAACTGGAAATCCTTCCTCCACCCCACCCACCAAACATTAATGGCTTAGGAGGAGGAAAAGGAAGAGGATTTATACCTAGCCCTCCACTCGGAGTCTCAGAGCGGCTTACAATCTTCTTCCCTTCCTCTCTCCGCAACAGACACCCTGTGAGCAGTGTTCCCCCTAAGCTGAGTTAGTGTGAGCTAGCTCACCGATTTTAAGCTTCCGGTTCACACCTTTTTGTCTCCGTTCAGGAAGGATGGCTCCAGAGCGGACTAATTTATGCAATAGGCAAATCGCTCGCTCACAACTTTAATGCCAGTAGCTCACAAAGTAGAACATTTTGCTCACAAGACTCCACAGCTTAGAGGGAGCATTGCCTGTGAGGTAGGTGGGGCTGGGAGAGCTCTGAGAGAACAGCTCTGAGAGAACGTGTGACTGAGCCAAGGTCCCCCAGCTGGCTGCACGTGGAGGAGTGGGGAATCGAACCCGGCTCTCCCAGATTAGAGTCCGCCGCTCTTAACCACGACCCCCAAACGGGCTCTCCAAGATGCCGATACCTGGGATACACCTCCTCCAGCCACTTGCTCAACGTCAGCAGCACTCTCATTTCGTTGGCCAAGGTCTGCTCAGCGTTCAGCCGCTGCAGCGTAAAGATGTAGAGGGTCAGGTAGCTGCCCAAGGAAAGGCACTCCTGCAGGAAGTCTTCGGCGGTGAGCTCGGGAACCTGCAGGGCGGCTATGATGGGGCCCCAGCCCAAGCCGTGGCTGAGCGGAGAGTCTGCCAAGAAAATGAACACACTTGAAGCTGCGCTACACTGAATTAGACCCTTGGTCCCACCAAGGCTGATATTGTCAGCCCAGACTGGCAGCGGCTGTCGAAGTCCTCAAGCAGAGGTCTTTCACATCACCTACCGCCTGGTCCTTTTTAACTGAAGATGCCGGGGATTGAACCTGGGACCCCCTGCATGCCAAGCAGAGGCTCTGCCACTGAGCCACAGCCCCTCTTTACAGCTCTCCAGGGTTGACCAATGAGGTCTTCCCCACCCCTACTGCCTGGTCCTTTTTAACTGGAGATGCCGGGGACTGAGCCTGGGACCTCCTGCCTGCCAAGCAGAGGCTCTGCCACTGAGCCAGGGTCTCAGGTCAAGGTCTTCCGCATCACCCACTCCCTGGTCCTTTCAACTAGAGATGCCAGGAATTGAACCTCCAACCTTCTGCCTGCAAAGCAGAGGCTCTTTCACTGAGCCACAAATGGAACGAGAGGAGAAGACCAGTTGTTTGCCCAGCTTGACAATTCCTCTCTCTTGGAAAATAATTTCAGGTGGCCATGTTGGTCTAGAGCAATAGAACAAGGTTTCAGTCCAGTGGCACCTTTAAGATCAACAAAGTTTAATTCTGGCCATATGTTTTCGTGTGCATGCACACTTCTTTGGATATACTGAAACAGACTTCCACAGCCGTTGCATATAGGTAGAGAGGGGATGGGGGTTGCTTGCTAGGAAGGGCTACTTAGAGTCAAGATGCATAAGTAAACTGACTTCCGGTCTGGCTCCCGCGAATGGCGGACGCATCCTCGGGTCGCTCCCGAGGTCGTCTTGCCCGCCCGCGGTGGAGGAGGGAATCCGCACGAGCGGAGACCCAAACGAGCCCCTCACGAAGAGGAGCTCGGATCCGGGGCGCGTTAGGGCGCACTAGCGGGGAGCCTCTTTCTCGGCCAAACGGTCGGAAATTGAGGCTCCCGCCATGCCCTGCCCCAATGGACCTTGCTGCGTGAGCGACCCCGTTTTACCGGGTTTAGCGGAGCCACCAGACGTCACCGAGTGATAAAGCGAACATCCGGAAAAAAAGGAAAAAAGAAAAGATCGGCTTAACTGTGAGTTGTCAAAATGCAGAGAAAAAGAACTAAGAACGTTTCCCCCACCCCAGCGAAAAAGACGAGGAGGTTAATCCTCTAACTGCATAAGCGAAAAAGAAAAGGAGGGGGGGAATGGACTGAGCGAATGGTAGTGTTTCCCTTTGATGTGTTTGAAATAAAGCGCGAAAAAGTTTTGTTTCTACGGAACGCATTTTAAGAACTTTTTAAAAGTAAACAAAAAAAGATGTCGGAGCTGGGTAAAGGCGAGCGGAGA